TACTGCATTGCATATGTCAGAAAGATTTTACGGACTTAGCGTTCCAGATTAGGTACGAGTGATCAAAAGCTCAGTAGAAAGAGACAAGTCAAACCCGTCCTATTCAAACCTCTGACTTCTAGTGTCCGGTGTTGTCTTTGTTATGGACCTGTGTGGTATAATAATGCTATTATTTAAAGAGCATTATAAGGGCTTCACAAAATAGGTTAGGTGAGTCTGGTCAGGGTATTAACAATGTAGAAATAAACTATTAAGCATATATTTTTCAATGGTAATGTAGTTTTACTACATCTGTAACAGAAAAAGCTATAAATTGATTACTTGGGGTAAAGAAGTCCTCATAACTGAACACTCCACTTACATCATGTGGTTGTATCATTCTGTCATGAAATGCAGAGAGATAGGACCCAGACTGAGACTTGTAGTTGACACAAGACAAGTCTTTATTATGGCTAATATTGTCCAGATCACAAATTTATCAAAATTCCAAAAAACAGCAAGCACCAGGATAACAGTGTCAAACAAATAAGATACATATTTTCAAAACACTGTGTCTCTGCGACTTTCAAACCCCAAAACATGTGGCACCAAAGTAACACTTTTGAAAGTCCATCTTTCACCAACTGAAAAAAAATGCTGTGATTGCAGCCGTTCCCTCTTTAACTCTGACAGTTTGAATATTAACAATCACAAAACTGAGCTAATGTCTCATATTTAGGTGGTTTTGCTAGTTACAGTCATTGTGCAGGTGTACTGTTTATAAAATTACAATAACAAAAAGTTTAGATTGAGTGTGCAGTATAAGGTAACTAGTGTACTTATTTACCTATTCATTTTGCAATAGATTATGGTGTCATGCAAAAATAATATATAATTTGAATTTTTTCTTCAGTATTTAGAGTTGTATTGTGTTCATTTCCATATAGATATAATGTTTTCTTTGAATTCTTTGTCAGAATAAAGCACAGACATTGTACTTTGGTAACTATGATTGGTAAGGTGTTGTTTTTTTCCTGTTTCTTAGCTATTTAGAGTGAGTCACTGTTGATAGTTTCAGTATAAAAATGTAAGTTTCTCCTATTTCTGTGTTGTTTGTTCAGGAAACCAACATTGCTCCATTCACAGCCACTGCCCACCAAGTCTATGTTGTTTTCCAAGGCCAGTACTCCACCCTACCTTCAGGATTCAGACTCACCTGGACCAGCTGAGAGGATGCTCTTTCTTCATCTCTGTCCCTCTCCCTCACACACACACCATTACTAAAGCTATGTTATAATGCCGTGTTATAATAAATATATAATTCAAGAAATGCAACAGTGTGCTCAGTCGTTTTTATATCAGGTGCTGCTTGTAAAGCAGAATGCTGCTGCATCAACCTCACTCACCTGCTGATTAGTTAGATGTCACAAACCACACTTATTTTTTGACATGGTGACAAATAAAGGTGTCAATCAAATCAACATGCTTTAAACATTAATAATGACAGCTTTGCGTATTATATTTGTTTTATTGGTTCTCATATTTTAGCAGTGATAAAGATGTTTGTCTAGATGTTTATTGGAAAACTTAAGACAGGCCTGTGCATGTGCCCCTTTGAGAAGAGGGATCTTGCAAGCACGTCAACATTTCAGTCCATAGTGGCACAGTTTTGGGCTGATCTCATGATCATCATTACCCTGTGAAGCAAGGTCTTGCACAGATCTCCAGACAAATTGTCATGGTTTGCTGTGTGGCCAGCAGGATGTCGGACCCAAAAGCAAGACTCATGGACAATGAAGGAGTGAACTAAAGAAGGCAGCTTTATTTTGACTGTAAATGGTTCTTCATACAGAAAACAAAACCTGAAAGCGAGGAGCTAGTAATTCGAACTAAACTACTAAATACTGAGGGCTAAAATACACAGCATAACAAGAGGATGGGGAAACATAGCTGGGACTAAAACTCAAAACACTGAACACAGGACAGGGACTATCAAAATAAAACAGGAAACACATGGCAGGCACAGAGGAATGGAGCACGGGGACAGGAGTGACATGAGACATAACTGACTCGGGAACAAGAAAATAAACATGAAGGCAGAACTAAACCTACACTAAACATGAGGGGCACAGGAACACGACCCAAGAACTAGAATTCAAGGAATACTAGAAAACTTAGGGAGCTAAAAGTAACAGTGATGAACCATGATGAAATCAACACTTGGTCACCAACGCAGGACCGTGACACAAATGGTCATTCTACATTTCTTTTATTTCTGAATAATCGTACTAACAGTGGTCATTTTCTCACCAAGCTTCTTGTTGAATGTCTGGTAGCTTTTACATCTTTGTGCAGGTCCCCAGTCTTGTTGCTCATGACCAGAAGAGGTTGGAATGGAACAAATTGTTTCTATGGATAGATGCTTTCTACACATAACGAGTTGAGATCAGGAGTGTCTGCAACTGATTGATTGACTGACTGATTATAATGTAAGTGCCTGATGGGCACACAACCAATCTGTTGGAGCCAGAATTCTGGCTGGACTGCAGGGGATCGAATAGTTATACTTAATGACACGCAAATTGATTTATAACTTTTATGTAATGTGTGTCGTCTCTCTCCATTAAAATGAAACTACAAAACTAGAGGCTTTTGTTTTGTTTTTGTAAGTGACCAAACTTAAAAATTCAGCATGGGATCAAATAATTATCAAACTGTATGTTTAGCAAGATGAAGTAGTTTGTTGCTAGTTTTAGTAAAGGAACAATGGTACTATTACTAGGCCCTTTTTTTCTTAGGTCAGGAAGGAGCACAGAAGGGTGATGTTGTTCATGCAACGAGCATACAAGATGCAGCACAAAAACCGTGAAACTGTCAGTTTGCTTTAAAGTGGTCAATTTTGTTTTGTTAGGCAGTGGAAGAACTGGATTTGTTTTTTCTTTTTTTGTTACAAGGTTAAAAGATGTCAAGAAGGCAGGTTAACATTAATCCTATAATACATAGTTTTAACGGCATCCACTTCACTGTTATATAAAAACTAATGTAAATCAATGCATATCTTTACTACTAGCTCTGTCTTTTTATTCACAAATTTTAATTGCCTTCTAGCACTTTCCAAAGTCTACACGAATCACGTTATAATCTGCCCCATGCTGAGCTGCGACTGATGCAACACTCACTACCTAAGGGCAGTGTCATGACTCAGACGAGAGCAGACATCCAGACATCTGAGCTATCACAGACTCATCATTTTAGAGTTAATCATATGTTACACAGCCCTGTTAAAGCTCATTCAAAGATTGATAAACAGGAAAACACCTCAAAAATCATACTACTGTGAAAAACCTTTTTACATATATTTACATCATATACTAAAGATAAAGTGAAATGTTTCACTTTGAAATTGTTTTTAATGAATTAATTTACATTTTAATGATAATGGGTTATAGTTCGTGAAAATCAGAACTGCTGCATCTCAAGTTATTTCCCAAACTTCATAGACTTGTGGTTATGGTTGGGCCTCTTGTCGGCAGTCCCATTTCAGTGGTCCTAACACATTCATCAGCAGAGTCAAAGGCCAGCAAAATTTTATACAAATAAACCATTAAAAAAACTAAGCTTGAGAACTGTTGTGAAAGACAAATACCTACTATTATTATATATTACCTAAGTATTATCGGCATGCACCAAAAAAGTAATAACCAGATGATGGTTGTGTGTGAAACAGAAATTGTAGAGGAAATATAAATAGTAAAAACACAAATGGTATAAATGGGAAATATATGTGTGTTTTGCTCACCTGTAACATTCTCAAAATTACAGAAGTGAAAAGCAATTAAACTGGTGAAACAAAAGCCTGAATGATATAGTTGTACCCCCTGATAGATGGTACAGTCTGCCTGTCTAGCAATGAAGACAATGCTTTAGAGCTTCTGCAGCGAAGGGGGGCAGTTAAAGGAACAGGCTGCTGTTTTAATGCAATTTAACCTTTTCCTCCTTTCAGTTTAAACTAGGAAACGTAAAACTCATTCTTCTCCTCTGCTCTTTACACTGTAATAATTCTTCTCATGTTTTGCTTTTAATCCAGAGCTCTTGGACCTGCAGATTCAGTGGCAGTCACTGATAGGTGTAAATGACCTGAGGGCTGAAGCAGCTTTTTGCCTTATCTTGGTAACTTCAGGGTTAACCCGGGGTTCACGTCTTATTAGGGTATAATTTATGCTGCAAACCTTATCTGCTCCAGAGCGGGTTAGACTAAAGATCAGCAGGTTTGAAATCACTGTCTACTGACCAATCAGTTCCCTAGAATATAGCGGCAGCATTCCTTGGACCTCTGTGTCCAGAGGGCCTAAAGTTTTCCAGTAGCATCATCGTTGCATTTCCCGGATGATCAGTGACAGATAGGAATTCTTAGAAACAACTTTATCATCAAACTTTTTATTTTATTGTTGTATCAACTTTAATATGCTTCAAACTATTAAACACCACCAAGGCTGCACCTGAGAAAAAAAAAGAATTGTCTTTTAATTTATTAAAACATTCTCATTTATAGTCCGTCAGATTCTCTGTGTCTTAATGGTAGGGCTATGACTTTGTTAAGTGTGTTAACTTACATAGTTGGCCAATGTGCTATTATTGTAGCTGCCCTTTTACAGTCTCATAAACTGCACATTGATACTAAACTGCATGATTTTCATCTCACATCAGTGATTTTTTGAAGAAGCTTTGTTGCTTTGATTCTGTTTAATTTATGTAACGGAAATGAAATCCTGCAGGACCCAGTAAACAACAACATCTTGTAAACAACTGCCAAAATTCAATACAAAATAAATGAAGCAAAGAGTGTTTACAGTTTCTCTTTTATTGTTTACATTAATGCTTAAAAAAGTGTACAAAAAAAAGGCCCTTACCACCCTCCCCCAAAGATCAAATGGTACATCCCCCCCACCCCATACAAGCCCTTTTGGGCTGAATGAATGAGAAAGGGGTTAGGGGGAGGGGTAGTGTGAGTTGGAGTCACTGTGGTGTTCAGGCACTCTGCAGCAAGCATTCCTATGAGCCACATTGATTCTACCAGTTAATTCTAGTTCTGCTGCATGGAGCAAACACTCGCGAAATAACAGCGACACTCAGATTTGACTCAAGGGTGTGAGGATGAAAGTGCTGCTGCTTTTGTTGCTGATGGGGCAAGCCGCCGCTCAGCACAGAGGTGAGACACCTTTTTAAAAACTTTGCTGAGTTCTAACAGCTGCTTTGAATTCTTATTCTCAAGTACCTTCACAGATCAAAAAATCTCCGAGAGGAACACTGAAAAAGTTTTTATTTTCAGGGTTACACATCTGTTTAAGCACTGTTGAACCCATCTCAGCTCTGCAGCCTGATCAGTGGGATTAGAGCTGGCTCTAATGTCGATGATTTAAGCAGAATGTACTTTTATTCTTGTTTCCCAAAGTAGTTTGACGGTAGTATTCTGCTATAGTTTAAAGTATGTTTCCCTTTCAGCTGTGTGTGTGTTACTGTTAAAACAAATCACATGTGCATCTTTGAGTCCTTGAGTCTTCATCACTGTGGGTATTTTGAATAGTGTAATGTAGTGAACATGCTACTGTTATCTTTGTTTTGTCTTCGGTCAGGGTCAGTTTGTTCTGATTTAAGGAACATTTATGCACCCTGACCTCTTTCTGTGAAAGTTTCAGTCAGCAGACTCGAGACAAATAACTTTGGGATTAAGCTCCACTTTTCCATCAGAGGTCAAATATCTGGAAATCTGATCTGGATTAAAGCTTGAGCACCTGTGATGTTATCTTTATCATCATATTCATCACCCCGAATCTGTTCAGGCATGCACTTTTACTTCTCTTATCACTGGCTCATGAATGAATCAGTGGAACAGTGTGTGTGTGTGTGTGTGTGTGTGTGTGTGTGTGTGTGTCTGACAAAAGACAAGGAGAGGGAGAGAGATTAAGAATTAGTGTGTACAGTCACACTCTTCTCTCCTTCCTCGCTCCCCAGAGATCACCACCCCCAAACACACACAACACATATAGACAAATCTCTACAACCTAAATACCTCTGTGTGTGTGTGTGTGTGTGTGTGTGTGTGTGTGTGTGTGTGTGTGTGTGTGTGTGTTGGGGGAAGGGTGACAGGTCATCCTGAACCTAAAATGGCTGACTTAACAAACCCCAACACACAAACAGTCAGATGTAATGTTTTGTGTGTAAAATATATAAACTAAGTACAGAGCAACATTTCACTGCAAGGTACCAGCAGCACCAGCATTATAGCATAATAATAGTGACAAAGCATCACACACAGTGGACTCGTATAGATCGCATATTTTATTAACGTCTCCACTGTTGTTCGATTCTCTCTCGCCTTAAATAATTTGCTCCAATCAGACTTTGGTTCCACGTATTTGAACCCTGAGGATATAACATCTCTATTCCTCGCTACCTATGTGCACATTTTATAATTAAAAAAATGCTTATTTA